GGGATGCTTTTCCATTTTTGCTGCACACACCATTTGGCTGCTTTATGTGGTAATAGTGGTAGCTGTGGTTGTTGTTTTATAACAAAAGAAATATTGATTTTTCTAATTTTAAGAATATTGGTTAAATAACAAATGCCTTCCAGTCTTCTAATCTGCAGAAGTACTATTTGGCTAAGACTCTCTGTATTTCTCCTTTTTTCCCTTCATTTTCTCTTCCCATAGTTCTTTGCCAGTGAGAATTAACTCAATGGAAATCTTGGCAAACTCTTGAGTCATACATTTGTTCTCTTTAATGTCATGGCCATATCTAGAGAATTGTTCTCCTGTGCCAATTGGTATCTAGCTTTTAATGTAATTGGATCTTTGCATATCCAAAAGCCACTTATGCAAATTAAAACAATGACTCCACTCAATAAACAGAGAATGATAACCACTGTCGTTATGAGAGCAAGTGAAGCTAATCAAAGCGCCATCTTCATAATTTTCTTTTTAGAGATGAGTAGCTGAAACAAATGGAATCAGAAAGGGAATAATTGGCCATTAGTCTAATCCTCGTGACTTATAATAGTAACAAACGGCACAAATAGCAAACAAATTAACCACTGCTCCCCCTGAGCCAATCAATTACCAAGTTATGACAACTTGGCGTCCTATTTCTTGAGTCTTTTCCTTCATCACTAACTCATCCAAGCCCTCCTGTCTTTATCCCTGGACCATGACAACAGTTTCCCAGCCTCTATTCTTGTTCCCTTTAAGTGTATCCTCCAGTGACACCAGTCACCAAAATGAGTTCTCTTACAAACACCAAGTCACTGCCTTGCTCAGAGCATCCTGGAATGTCCCAACTCTTTACTATGGCATGCAGGATGGTTGGTTTCCTGGATCTTACCTGTGAACCATCCCAACTCAAACTTAGGGCACTGGGTGGAGCTCTTTCCCCAGGAGTTACGTTGTTGTATGGGGTTCAGATAACTGCCAGACTCCACTTTCCCCTGTGGTGAGTTTCCCTGTGGGGACCTTGGTGTCATCTTCTGTCATTGCACCACCAGAGTCCACTGTGGCAACCTCTCCTATTTTTAACATTTGGCGGAAGGGGTTAGTATCTCTTTTCAACCCCTTTCAGAAGGATTTTGGGATCTTTATGCAAATATACCCACAGGCCTTTACAAACTGAAGAGAAGTCTTTGCTAAACTGCAAGATTAAAAAACAAGAAGATCAATCGTACAACACTTTCCAAAATCAAGACTTGCTTCAATTTTCTATATAAAGGATGTTGCTCCAATATGTCTTTCGACATATAAAACTTCTACCTCGTCAGGCATACTACCACACACATGGAATTGGATTTGTATAAAATTCAGTTCACTACAAACACACACGTGTGTTTTAAAGGTTCATATCTTCACTTTATATCTTTTCTGTCATCCTTTTAAAATGTTATGGTATTTTATATGTGGCTTAATATATCACTGCCTGTGGTCAATGGCACTAAGATCAGAGTCTCGCCTGACTTTAAACAAAACCCAAATGAATTATCCCTTCAATTAACTGATTATTGTTTCTTTTGTGCCAGACTTCTAAAAGCAAGAAGAAGCTAATAATTGCCCATGTGTCAGAAACTATTTTCTTCTGAATTGATAGACACACACACAGGAATACCTGTATTTCTTAGGACCTATGAATATTTCAGAAGGTAAGGTTTTCAAATTTGGCTCATTCAAGCCCTTTTACCACATGTAACCTAATCTCTGGAAGAATTCTACCCAGGCAGCCAGCAAACATTGACTACAGAAATAGAAATTTCCACTGAAGAACAGATGGCAGAACACCTTTGGATTTTAATGTTGGACCCTCTGGTAGCAGTAAAAATATCATCAGGTCCCACGGACATCCAGTCAGCTAGTAAGGTGTGGCCTTCTAAAGATCCTTAAATGTGTAGACATACACAATCAGCCCTGTTTTTGCCTACAAGTTTTTCAACTTTCTTAGGTCATTCGTTCTTAAAAATCCAAGCTGAAGCAGACAAAGAACTTATTTAAGGAAGTTTGGTGACTCTAGGACCCCTGGTAGGGCCAAGGAGTCATGTTCAGAAGATATCTAACCAGGTACTCCTCACATTATGTGAGGAATCCTGCCCATTTGGTTCAAGATGGTCGAGAGACATTAAGAAAGGTTTAGGGTCCTCTTCATATTGTGGTTTCTTTCTTCTTCTCCTCCCCCCAAAGACAAGAATCCAACAACCCAATGCTCAGCCTCCTTCTGGTTAGCTTTACACTGTCCTCAGTCAATGCTCCCTGAGGTGTCTCCCAACTAAAGACATGGCACCATCGGACGTCTTTTTGGGGGGCATCTTACTTATAAAGGCTAAACTTCATAAAACTAGGGTAGAAATTCCAAATGAATAAGTTAAGCAGAAATCATACATATCACCACATCAACTGTCACTAGATCTTAGGTAGACACACTATGGCTAGGGCCTGAAAATAGAGTCAGTTATCTAAAAACAAATGTCTTCAGTCCTGCTCTCACCAACTCCTCGGGGCTTCATCCCTTAAATACCCAATACCCAAGCCATCATCCCTAAAATATCCTAGTAAGATTACCTCAGTGAATAATCTGACTGTCTTCCCCCAACATAGATTCACCCCCACAGAAGCCATTCGCACCCACTCTCCCTTCTCCACATCAAGAGTATCTCCAAGATAACACTTTGGAGTTGACTATCAGTGTCTACATTGCTAGATGAAGGAGTATCAGAGTGACAGCCTGCAGGCGATACGGCCCCCTTGTCCATGTCAGAGTTTGTAGCCCAAGAGGAAAACATCTAACCAATTATCACATGTTGGGACTTTTATTCTGTTCTCTCTTAACTGCCTCCCAGAGAGGGAAGGAAGACCCTCCCATTTCCCAAAAAGAAAAGAAAATCCTTGGTGTAGGAATCTCCTAGAGTTTGTCACTTGCCTTAAGAAGTTTCTGAAAACTTTTAAAAGAGAAACGCAGCTTAGGAACTAGGTAATTAAATTCTTATAGATTTATTCTTCTCCAAACTTGACCACTGTCATGCCCAAGCTACAGGACATTTTGCTGTATTATTTTAGGGACTGTAATAAGATGCCATGAGAAAGGGCATAAAGGGACATGTCAACAAGGAAGTCCTGGGGGAGCCAAGATGCACCAGAAGGGCACAGCTTCCCCATCTATGGCATATGGGAGACATAGGGCATGTGGCCAATAGGGCTAAGTTTGAATGATAGACAAGTGACCGAGGGACTACAGAAAAGGAAGCAATCAACATTACTCAATGAGAAGGGGAAGACCAGCAAAGGTTTCCCTGAACGCAGCTGGAAGGACGAGAAGTAGATTACAAAGGAGAAAAGAAGACAAGGAAAACCTCAGGCAGAGAGACCCACAGCACAGAGGTGTGGACCCAGATAGCAGAGCTAGGGCCTGGAAAATACACGTGGCCTGCAGGAGTGTGGCAGGAGCTGGGTAGATAAATAGCCTGGAACCAACTCTCCAGGGTCCAGAGGACCATGGAATTTGTTCCAGCAGGAAGTACTTTGTCAGTGTGCATTGTAATGACCGATCTGCCCACCACGTGAGGAGCAGATTAGAGACAAGGCAGTGAAACCAGTTATGGGGCTTTGGGAAGGATTCCTGCTGTTTATCATGAGCCCAGAGCATGCCAGGCACTTGGTACACATATTTTGTTTCACTTAATCCTCTCTCTGTGTCAAATGTTCTTAATCATCTCAAATGACTGGAGGAAACTGAGGCACAGGGGGTTAAACATCCCAGGGAGCCAAAGCTGCTAAGTTAAAGCCAGGGAGTCTGGCTCCAGAGTCTACAGGGTTTCCTGCTCGCCTGTTCTGAAATCACCTGGCAGAAACACTCCGAGGCTATTCGAGAGCAGTAAAAGTTGGAGTAGTGAAAAGGGAACAAAACCAACAGCATTTTCAGAGTGATTATAGGTGAGGCAAAGAGATAAGTAAAAATAGCTGAGGTTTCCAGTTTCAGTGAACCAGGGAAAGGGGATTAGAATTAATGACAAGGGGTGGGCAGCAGCATTGGTGGTGAAAATAATTCCCTTATTTGAGGCATGTTAAATTTTCAGAGATTGGGAGATAGCCTGTAAAATTTCTGATGTTGGTGTTCCTCCCATCCTCACCTTCCGTCCTCCCTCAGTGGCGGGGTACCCTCTCCCATCTTCTACAACTCAGTGCCAACATGTTTGCTTGGTTGAAGTCGATTCCCCAAGTCTGGTGTAGATGCTGTTCCCACAGTAATGTCTAGGAGTTCTCTCTCACTGGATGGCTTTGGTATTAAAGGAGAGGTTTTGCCCTTATTGAAGGAATCCATAAAAATCAAAGAGAATATGATGGAAAGGAGGCTCCTGGGGCTCTCTACCTGCCAAAATTTTCTCTCCTGAGACAAAACCAGACTGAAACAGATGAGGGTTTCCCATTAACTCAATAGCTATGGGCTGGACTTGGGTGGTTCTCAAAGTCCTCTCACTGGACACAAAAGCCATAGGGAATAGAGACAATTGGGAGTGCCAGCTAATTCCCTAGAGCATCCAGGCTCTCTTTGGAAAATGTTTTTGTTTGAGGGATTATCTTCTTTTTCAAGCATGCCCCCTCTCTCCTGCTTTCTCTTTTTTTCTCTTCTATCCTTCTTCCCTCAGTCCTAGTTATTTTTGCTAAGCATGTGTTCTGCTATAGAGCTATATCACAGCTACTACGTATTTTTATTTGTGAAATGGAGTTGGTACTGGGGATTGAACTCAGGGCCCTCAACCACTGAGCCACTTCCCACCCCTATTTTGTATTTTATTTAGAGACAGGGTCTCACTGAGTTGCCTTCGCTGAGGCTGGCTTTGAACTCGCCATTCTCCTGCCTCAGTCTCCAGAGCTGCTGGGATTACAGGTGTGCACCACTGTATCCGGCTTACTATTTGTTTTTGTTAAAGGGAAGCATTAAAAGAAAAACTGAGGCCCAATAAAATTGTAAAGAGTTTATTTGAGCAAACAACAATTCATGAATTGGGAAGCACCCAAACCAAAAAGGTCTGGCTCTGTCAAAGAACTACAAGAGACAGGCTTCACTATAGAGTGAAGGCATAAAGTAAGCAAATATTTGATTGGTTACAGTTATAGTTGCCTTATTTGGACAGTCCCACTGGAAAGTCCTAGCTATATAATTTAAGTTAGGTGGCCACTTCTGACTGGTTGCATTTAAGTTTGGCTTTTCTCTAATACTCACATTTATAAATAATGACCCAAGTTAAGTTTTGACTATGTTTACAATTTAAGCAAGATTAAGGTTATTTTGAAGGCCTAACCGGGCTTGCCTGGGGGGAATTTTTCGGGACTATCTCCATTTTTATTTGCTTTAACAATCTCCCAATTTTGGTTATTCTCTCAGCCAGCTGAGAGTGTGACAAGATGGGGCACAGCGTTATCATCAATGACCACCATTGAGGAAGTGGATATAGACCCTGGGACGAGAGTCATTTTGACATTATCACCATCAATAGTTGCACTGGGACAAAGGTTGATGTCACTGTCATCAGCAACTCCATGGCCATCCCTGGTCAGGTGGCTAAGTTCCTCAAGTAGTTTATCCTGATGGTAACCATCTGGTGTGGGAATGGCTACTGGAAAGCATTTAAAACCCCACGAGAGGATGCCAGGCATGCTAGAAGGAAGTACAGTGATTAGGAGGAGAATGACTGGAAACCTCCCTGGAGCAGAAATTCCCACTGATTTCAAGGAATCAGTGGAAGTGACATCCCCTATTTGATGAAAAACTTGTATCTGTTCTTTAAGCTCTTAAATTTTTGACAACAATCCCTGACTTATGAACACAGAAGAAACTTTTTTTTTTCTAATAACTGCACACAAACCACTCTGTTGAATCAATGGGGTATCTAAGACTTGTTATTTTGCAAATTTACTGAAGCAGGTTAGAGAACTCAGTTTGCAAAGCTTGGAGAAAAGTCATTAAAGTTTTTTTCTAAAGTCTTAGAGACATGTTTAGTAGCCTCTTCTAATTCAGAATTAACAATGGAAGGATGGATGCTCTGATGAGAGAGAGAAACCCAGAAATGCATGTAGTAAGAGGGTTAGCACTACACTGCTTAGATTTCTCTGATGTGGAATTATTTTATTAACAAATGAACCAAATTAGTGGTTTTGCAGGTTTTGTTTTTTTGTTTGTTTTGTATGTGAATATTAGGAGTCACCAGTCCTAATCCACAGTGACCATTCTGATTGGGGGCAATTCTTGTACAACAAAGGTATTGTATCCATCTACAACTAAAAAAGTCCAAGCCACTTTGGTAATAAATTCCTATTTCTTTTAAGGACAAAGTTAAATTATGAGGTTCTTGGCATGGGCAAGTATCAGACCTCTTGCCCCCTCAGGTTCCTTAAAAGCTATGGAGCAGGCAGCACTCCTAATTACAGAATTTAGGTAGAGAGTTTGCTTCAGGATCTGGGAGAATCTATTTGGATTTCAGTATTGATAATGGGTATAGGCAAAGGAGGATTTCATGTGGTTACCTTGGGAAAATCTAATCCAAATAGTTTCAACACATTGAGGCACAATAAATCCTAGAGAGAGATTATCAGTCTGATTATTAAAAATACAGAGAGGGAATTTGTCTTTCATTTTGAAGATGGATAAGAAATATAATTGGGAAGAATTGATTTGTCGGGCTTTAGGGATGTGTTCATATTCCTGTGGGTTGATACCAAACTGACGTATTAAGTGGATATAACTGTCATATCAGGTTCTTCATCTACATGGGCACAAATCCAGCCTTCTTCCCGATTAGTTATAGATGCTATTTTTTTTGTACAGTTTCTAATAAGGAGTTTTTACAATCAAAGTTAGTATAGCCTAATAAAATTAAATTTTAAAAAGCAATGAAAACAGCTTGGCAGAAATCCAAAGGCGATGTTTTACAAAGACAAAGCCACAGGAGGAAGTCAAAGCAAGGAACAAATCCCCAAGCAAAGTAACCTCCCAGTGTCTGCTCCACCTCCAAGTTGCTTTCCTAGTTCTGGGGTATGATGGGAAAGAATCCTGATTGATGGCAGGGAAGAGACAGGGAATGGCTAGACAGGGGGATACAATAGAGTTCAAGAAGGGAGTGGCCAGGAGGAAGTGATAAGCTTACAGGAAACGGGAAGCACAAACAAGACACCACTTCCCCAAAAGCTGTGTGATCTGGCAGGGGAAGCAATTACATTAGGGTAAGAAGAGCACATTTCCTATGTTCTACCGACTTCACCAGACTGTCAATAGATTCTACCTCTAGTGGCCTAGTCTTGCCAGGATTCTTTGTCATTAGCCAATACTGTTTATTTAAGTTATACATATTTTATCACAGTGCTAGCTCTTCGGGGAGACTGTCTTCTCCATGAGTGCCTTGGCTTGTATGGCAGATGCTGCCTGAAGACAATTCATGGTGTCCCTGCTCTGGGGTTCCCCCAATGGGGCCTGTATGCACATGTGGGCTCACAGACACAGGGGACAGGTGAGAAGAACAGAAAATGAAAGCCTGTTCATCTGACATTCACTGCTCCCCTCCTGCCTTGCCCTATAGGAATGTGAGGAAAAGGGGGAAAAAACACTAGGGTGTCAGCCATTCCAGTAGAGCAGGGAAGACTCAGGCCAGGAATGGCCAGGAGGCCATAATCCCCTAGGCAGCGCGCTCCATCAGCATCCCTGCATGAGCCTGTGCTCCAAGCCAGGGAGTTTGGAGGGAAACAGAAACAGAATCACTCAGCCTGATGGGGCTGTACAGGGAGGACCTGTGAGGACCATGAACCAAGACCAGATGGCTCCCACCCCATTCTCTGGCAGGGAACTAGGTCAAGGAACTGAAGGACACAGTGTCAAAGAGAGAAGGAGAGCATGGGGAAGGGTTGAGAATTTCTTTTCCTTTCCTTTTTTCCAAAATTCTACCACCATGGGACGTTAAAGTTCATTTTAAAGTGGCTGATGGGTCATATTACTATAGTGTTTAATGTACACTTCAACTTTGGGGATGACATTTATACACAATACGTCTGATTCTTCCTCAGTCTAGTTTACATAACTTCAACTCAAACAGGTTAGAGATGTGGTGCCAGGAAACAAAAGCAGGCCATCTCTGGTTTTCCTCAGCCTCTCCAGACCCTCACTGTCCCCAGTGGCCCATGCCCACAGAGTTCCAGGGCTAAATCCAGAGACGGTGGTCCATCAGAGCAATTAGGACACTGCAGAGGAAGAGAGAGGCTTGGAGAGCCTGTCAGGGAAAGCTGCAGGATAGAATAGCTCAATCCACCTTTATTTTATTCATGTGCCCAGAAATCATTTCCTCAGAGGTCAAACAAACACACTTGACTTAAGAACAGCCAACAAAATTGTCTTGCATTTTATCCTGAAGGCAGAACAAGAAGAACAAAAACAGGGTCAGAACAGGGTGGAAGGAGGAGAACGTTAGCTGAGAGCAAAGAGGGACTGAAAGAGATGGTCCTTTCTTCATGCCCCGGAGATTCGGCAGCTGATCTTGGCCACTGCACAAGCCGACAAGCTTCTTTTAAGGTTATTGCAGTCCTGGAACCTCTCCAGCCTCATAAAATAAAGCTAACCTTTGGAGCTGTGTGATCTGGCAGGGGAAGCAATTACATTAGGGTAAGAAGAACACATTTCCTATGTTCTACTGACTTCACCAGACTGTCACTAGATTCTACCCCAATAAATAAATAAATAAATAAAAAGGCAATCTACCAGTTCCTTCTTACCTAGCCTAACTGGTTCTTTACCCTGCCCACATTGCAATGATGACAATCTTCCCTGCTGGACCAGGACCATCCCAAGGGTAGGCACTGTGTTTCTTCATGTCATAACCTCTATGACTAGTGCTAGGAAGTGCCCAGCAAATACTCAGTGATGATAAGCAGAAATGGCTAGATGAGCCCTCACTGGACAGACACCCAAACCATGTATGTGGTGGCAAGTGCCCCATTATTTTTGAAGAAACTCAAATTTTGCCATGACTTATGCAGTCTCAGGACAAATGAGAAGAGCAGTAAGTGGGCAGGGTCATCGCAGAGGGCTTTGTTTTTTGTTTCATCTGACCTGAGGGTGAATCTTAATAGATGTGGTAAGCCCACACTCACTTTTAGACTCACTTTTAGACTTTGCTCCCAGTTAGATGGCAAGGATATTAAAGCACATCTAATGTTGAGGGCATGATGTCACAGAACTTTCTCAAAAGTAGTAATATTCAAGAGTTGTGGCAGGTGACAATACTGTGGGGTTGGGGATAATAGATAAGACTCCTTTGACTGAAGGTATTAAGTATTAAGCAAGTAGTTGCAGTTCAGGAAAAAGTTCTGGGCCTACTATAAAGAATCAGAGGACAAATAAGGAAACCAAGGTAAAAATCCCAATTAGATGGGCCAGTTTGATCCATAATTTCATCTTATTGGGCATGTGGCTCCTGGGGACTTGCTAGATATGGAAATGTCCATAGCAAGACTAATGCCAGATCCCCCAGTTGGAAGGGGCTGAGGTCTTTTGCTCCTTGGGGATCCCATTCCCACTCTCCTCTATGTTCATCCTCTCCCCTTGGACCACATGCCTAGCCATGCTCAAGCCTCTCCCATATTAAAAGAAAATAAAAGCCCGTCAACACACAGGCAAACTTCCCTGCTAGCACCTCTGTGTTGTAGGTGTGTTGTCTCCACTTCTTTGCTTCTTTCTCACTCTTCTTGGGCACATGCAGCTGAGTCTGTCTTTCTCCACTCATAAGATTACTCTAAGGACCATGTCATCGCCATCAAAAATTATATTGCAAAAAAAAAAAGAGAATTATAATGCAATTGTCCATTTTCTGACCTCTTTCCTACTAAATTATGAAGTCCTTAGGATGAAGTCATGGCTTATTCACCTTTATAACCCTAGTAACAAGGGCTGTACTACTTGTAATTACCAATGACTAACAGAACATCTCTATACATTTTTGCACGAAGCTTATTTAATCTTCACAATAATCCTACATAATAGGTATCATTATCCTTATTTAAAGAAGCTCAAAGAAGTTAAGTAATTTGCTCCAGTCTCCAGAGCAAGTAAGCAGCAGTTAGTATTCAGTCTATAACAGCATAACTATAAATGCATGCTCTTTCTATTCCACTGCACTGTGCCTTTCAACCAAAACACAGATATGGCGACACAGTTCCTACAAGTACAGCATTGAGAGTCAACAGGAGAGAATGATTAAAGAAATAATTACAACAGGGTAGTCTGCAGTTGTAGTTGCATGGCAATGGGTATATTCTGAAGAGAATGGCCTAGGGAAAAAGGGAAGTGAAGGAAGACTGTGATGGGGTGAGGCAGCTAGGGCTTAGAGATGGTATAAGAGATTGATCGGCAAAGTTGGAAAGAATTCTGGGCAGATGTAGGAAATAAGTTTTCTTATACCTCAATTGTTGCATCAGAATAAACTTGAGAAATTAATATTCTGAGTGTAGCATAGATAACAAAGCTGCTAATGCCAATATTTTGACATTTCAAAACACTGAAATGATTAAACGTATGAGTATAAATGCCAATGAGGATGATTTCTCAGAAGTATCGCACATTATATTGAGAGTGTCTTTTTTGAATGCTGCCAGAGTCCTCAAGCAGGCCATTAGGAACGTATTTCTTCATGCCTTGTGCCTCATCAATGTATTCTGCTGTGTTCCAAGTGCTAATTAAAATTGCATACTGATTGTCAAAGTAAAAGCAAAAGTGCTTACATTAAAATAAGTGTCTAAATTAAATGGCACAAAACTGAGAATCTGATTCCAAGTTGACACACAGTTCTTCCCCTTCCCTGTAATTGTTCAGGGAGAAGGCCAAGAGTCAGACATAAAGTTTAACTGTATTTTTCCTAGTATTCTTAATTATTCACAATAATTTAGATCTTTAAAGTTTACAAAAAGCAGTTTCCTAAGTCATCATCCCATTTTATTCTTTCAGTTGTCTAAAATGGTTTGATTTGGAATTTCTAGGTTAAATGTGATATTTTATATGTGAAGAGTACATTGCCTATTATTAAAAATATCTGAGTTCCTATCATAAACTTAATCCTTAGTACTGATTAACTATGTTATAGCCAAACAAAATAATTTTTAAAAAATGCTTGTTCTATACAGATTTTGCTAGGTTCTCAGAAAAAAAAAATATTGGTAAAATTTCCTAACTAAACACTGGACTTGGACATTAGAATAAACAAATGCAAAGTAAATGCTCAATGAACACAGACTATTGTTCTAATTGTTCTACCTAACTATTATTGGGAGACCTGCAAGCAAACTTCAATATACTTGAGTTCAAAAACAACCTCTGTTATCCTTCAACTTGCGAAGAAAACCAGGGGAGTGTTGGTTATCTCCTAATCCCCTAGTCTCTCATTTCACTTCCTGACAATTCTTGCCTATTCTTCTGTCTAGGCAATGCCATGCTCCACAATGTTTTTCCCAAGATTTAGTCCTGGAAAATGAAACTCATTCCTGAATTCTGTCAAATACCACGCATCTTCCCACCTGTTTCACTGTGCACATGCTCCAACATGGGCCTACAGGTGCCTCAGTTTCCTTCTCAGCCCCATTTCCAAGTACATCTTCCTAGATCCATTCAAACGCCACCTCCTCCTACGCCATCCTTTTGGCTCCCTCAAAGCAGAATTAGTGAGTTTCTCATTTGAATTATCATGCTACTTCACTCATTCCTTTATTGGAGCACTTGTCATTACTTGTGGATAGGAAGCACATCTTATCTATCTCTGCTCTTCTCTGGTTTTGTACAGTACCTGCACACAAAATACGGTCAACAAATGTTTACTGAAAAAAGAAATATGAAAGTCTAAAGATTGATGGTACAAAATTTAAGATGAACATTATGATTGAGAAAGGGTACTTGAGTCCTTCAGAAGAGAAAGAACAATACAAGTGAATGCCAAGCTAGCCTAAAATAATCCAAAAGGTACCTAAAAATCACATAATTTTAAAAAATAGAAAGAAAGTACAAAACAATTTAGCTTGCCCTCTTCTGCATGGATTAGACAAAGCCAAGAGTACATTTAGTTTTTGAGACTTGTGTGGCAGACCTTCTAACCCAACCCCAAGTTCATTGCTTTCTCTGTTACTCTCTATTCCCTCTCTGGAGACCTTTTCTAGCCTATTACCATGATAGGAAATTACACTCTATGTTCCAGTCTCAAAAAAATTTTTACTTTGACACAAAAGCAACATAATAGGTTGTTTTGAGAAAACCATCAGTTAGCTAACAACAAGTGCTTGCATGAGTGAATCCACCTGTGTGTTTATATATATCCCTGAAGGATTAACCAATGCTGCCTATCTTAAATTTTAAATAAATGCGTATTTTGAAGAAAAGAATCTTTTTAGTTGTTTTTAAAACTATTCCTAATACAAAAAAAAATGCATTCAAAGAACTAGTTACACAATCCATAAAACACTGTCCTTCAAACACTAGCCTAGAGACCAAATCATACCAAGTAGGCTTCCTCTATGGGACATTATTAAAATATTAGAGGGAAACCAACGGCAGATTTGGGGAGAACATTAAGTTGCCCAAAGTCAACAGAATAAGTGTATTTTTGTACCTTTAGTTTCTTAATATGAGACAGATTTTACTGACTACATTAAGATAAATTAGAAATTATGTGTTTATAAAGTTTGTAGAAGTAAAATCAAATTGCATAAAACAGTATTGTTCATAAAGGAATATTGAACCAACTACATCAGATTGTAAAATACCAGCACTAAAACAAAAACCAAAAGTGAATATTTAAAAACTGTTCATAGCATTAAATTTTAATTTATACAATTAGTGTCATTACCCAGCTAAATATATGGTTGAAAGGTCAGACAAAAAGTTGTGATGGTAAATAATGATAAGTGTCTGAGTTAGCTTCAGTTTTCTTTGCAAATATTCATGAGTTATACATGTTCAACTTTAAAAAAAATATTTAGTTGTAGATGGACACAATCTTTATGTATGTATCTATCTATCTATTTAGTTATTTATATGTGGTGTTGAGGATCGAACCCAGTGCCCCACACTTGTCAGGCAAGTGCTCTACCACTGAGCCACAATCCCAGCCCCATGCTCAACTTTTAACACCTGCATATATCTATCCTTGGTGGGCATACTGCTCAGGGGATTGTGAATTAATGTTAGTATCATCTCGGGAAGAACATAATTAGAACAAAACTGTCTTAAGAAAATAATGCTTGAAAAAGTCACAATACGTTTTATTTTATTGTTGGAAAAACCACAGAACTGTTTTCCTCTATGAAACTGTACATTTAACAATTATAATATTTATTAAGCATGAAGATAGAAGCGAAGCAGGTAAAAGTTGTTCATTACTTGAAAATGAGACTAAGTTGGAAAGTGTCAGAAACAATAGAAGCATTTACATATAAACATAAATTTAAAATGGAATAGGGAAAAACAATAGATGAATGTAAATGAGTAATTTAAAAATGTAAAGCCTTGAAATTAGATAAACAAATTTCTAAAAGCTGGAAAGGAGAAATCAAGGAGATTGAGAATTTGAAAATTTATTATGCATCTGCAATAATTTTGGTAATCAAGACAAAGGGAGAGAGACAAATATTTAGGTTTTCATAAGAGCAAATGATACCTAAATAGATTTTATAAGAATCAGTGCATTCACTTTTCAGTTATCTCAGAAACAGGAAAAAGAAATGGAAAAATATTATAATGGAAACACTGATCAATGAGCAGAAAGAAAGCTAATTGTAAAAGTAGGATTGCAATCCAAAAGAACTTTAAGGCAGAAAAGCAAAGAGAAATTTTACTCAGTTATCAAAATCCATGAGTATTCAATTAGGAAAAGATAAAAATTTATCCTAAATATTACATGAAGATTTCTGATTATCAATTATTACTTGATGAGTGGTCAAAAGAAACAACAAATCACTCACCACTGGGAATAATGGAAACAAGATAATAAAATATTCTGAAAGGGCTAGCAACATGAACTGGCTGGTAAAGAAAATCTCCTTTGCCTCCTGAATTTTAAAATGAAGTCTTTGGTAGCTGGAATAATAAAGGAGGATTGCTGACTTTTAACAAATTTACTGGAAGATCTGACTTTATTCTGCAAACTAAGACAGCTCTCAACATGACATTCTGGTTTTTTTTTTCTTTTTTTATCATGATGAGAAATGAACCATGTTGTATCTCCTCAAAGAGAGGAATCTGGAATTAAGAGTTTGCCGTCATCACCAGAGTCCTTTTCATTAATATTTTGAATTTCCCAGAAATTTAAAACCCAATACAAAATAAGCATATATTTCATCATGAATTTAAAGAATATGAACTTATTTCTTATACTTCTATTACATAAAACAAATCTTTTTTTTAAAAGAGAGAGAGAGAGAGAGTGTGTGTGGGAGGGAGGGAGAGAGAGAGAATTTTTAGTATTTATTTTTTAGTTTTTGGCGGACACAACATCATTGTTTGTATGTGGTGCTGAGGATCGAACCCTGGCCCCACGCATGCCAGGCGAGCGCGCTACCGCTTGAGCCACATCCCCAGCCCCAAAACAAATCTGTTTATAGGTCTCCAGAATCTTTTATAAAACATCCCTTCTAACAAAGTATATTTTCAGTAAGTCTAAATTATGAAGGTTTCAGCCACACATTCTCACAAGATAAATGCTTTTCACTCATGAATGTTTTATTTAAGTGGTAATAGGTACATTAGAATCAAAGGCACATTATTGTGTTATATCTTCAAGAAATAAACTGAGCTGATGTACTTTGGAAATACATGGAATAAAGCCCAGAAAAGATAAAACAATAATGAATATCAGTCAAGAAATTGCCAGAGATAGAAAATATTATTACTAAAACCCAGAGATGAAATAAACTTACATAAATTTAGTGCAAGGACTTGCTTGCTCTGGGCCCAGTAATATATTTTATTTTCTTTGAACGTCAGTGGCAAAGATTTTCAGATTTTTTACAAACCTTAACTCTTATTTTACTCTTTGAAGATAAAATGGTGAATGAATTAAATTCAGGACTACAGCTTGTGAATTAGGCATGTGGTTTTATGGTTCAGAAAATAGAAATGTACAACCAAAATGCAGTTTCAATTGATACAGATGAAACCAAAACCACTCAATTTACTGTTTCCATCTATACTACCAAAATGAACTACACAGTACTGTGATCATCTCAAATACTATTTCATGTGCTATTAAACCTCACCAGAGTAGTGTTCTTAAGAGTGCATTGTTATGATCAGGAAAACTTGTTTCAAAATACAGAAACCCTGAGGTCTGGGATGAGAATTACAGCCTTAGAGACCAGAGGTCAGTGAGAATCCAACAGTTTATTCCCTTAAGGTGAATGGATAGCAAACTCATGCATAGAATATAAGGAAGATGCATAAAGACTTACATGACTCTGATGTGTTATCGATACAATTACTGCATTTGAATTCCTGCATTCATATTTTAGACCCAAATACAAAATGACTTCTACTTTCCTATAAACTTTGACAGTTTAAACCTATCCAGCTATTTTTTTTTAATGCAGGTGCCTGAGAATCTAAAAAGGGATTTGTATAGATGTTAACACAAAATTTTTGAGCTAGAAGAGGCCATCAGAGTCTAGTCCAATGCTTCTCAGTTGGAAAACCCAAGCAGAGAGGGGTCATCTATGCTCATTTGGTCAAGATTCTTCAGTTGGAAAGTCAGAGAAAACCCAGGCCTTTTCATGATTGAGGTCTTTCATTGAAGTATTTGAGGGTTTGCAACTCAGCTAAAGTGTAGGGAACTAATTTCAAACACATTTTAGGGGCAATATATCAAGAGATAAAACCCCTTTGTAGTTGAAAAATGAAAATTTCATAGTCTAAATGAAAAGAAATACTCAAAAGTTATTGTGAAGAGGAAAGAAAAATTGTATTTTTTTCTTGCTTCCATTATGGAAGAGATATTGCCCTATTTACCAGTGAAATACACCAAGGGCCCAAGTGGGTCTTTCCAGGGTCACGTAATTACACATGTGGACGAGATGGTATATTTTCCAGTGCTCATGATAAACTCAGTGTTCCTTGTTCTGTCAGTGCTATTCCTGGGAGGAAAGTATGCACACATACAAGCTGAAAAACATATCTTTCTTTGAACATTATTTTACGAAATGGTGGAACATAATGATTTGGACAGTAAGTGGTAAGAGTTTATATGCTCCATGAAGATAGTGTTTTGGAGTATGACTCCCTGGCTCATAAACAATGGACTCAATATATTTTGTTTAGTCAGAAAACCATAATTATTAAATCTTTAATTTATGCTTATGCAATTTATTTTTGGAAATTGTATATACTAGTCACTAGTTTCCATTCTTTTAAAAATTTTATTTTGAAATTTTCAAAATACAACAGCCACATAATTGATACAACTATGAGACAAATCTCAACTTATTTCTGAACTCACATCCAATATTCCTCTATTAATTTCTCATGGATGAAGTGTTTCTTTCACTAGCAGATAGTACAATACTATGCTTATTACTTGCAGAATGTTCAAGTTGAATTTTTGTACCTCATTGTCATCTAAATCTAGTTTTATCTTATAGCTAACCACAGAATATTGATGCTTCCTTAATGGGGAGGGTTACTGTTTTAAAAACACTCCTTTTTTAAATGACAGAGTTATAAATCTAAGCTGATGTTAACTATTTATCTTCCTCAGAGATTTGCTGGTCCTTCTGTGTTGTGTAAATTCTTAAGGCTATTTGTAACTTAAAATTCAGAATATATATTTGAAAATATCCTTTCTTGAATTTTGAGTAAGTTGCATACCTACACAAGAGTAGTGTTGATTGAAAAATTACTTACATTTTAATTTTTTTAGTATTGGGGGTTGAACTTAAGGGTGCTTGACCACTGTACCACATCCTCAGCCCTTTTTGTTTTTTATTTTGAGGCAAAGTCTTGCTAAGTTGCCTAAGGCCTCACTGAGTTGCTAAGGCTGGCCTTGAACTTGTGTTCCTCCTGTCTCAGCCTCCAAAGCCACTGAGATTACAAGCATATGCTACTGTGCCCAGCATATTAAGAATTTTTAATATTATGGTGGCTATTTTATTGTTTTTAAAATTGTGCAGTTCCAAATGTCAGATAAAACAGTACTCTATAGAAAAGACACAATTGCAAAGAGGCTACAAATCCCTCACCTTCCCCACATTCTATTTTGCTCCTCTTGTTGCCCAGAACACCTGCAGTACCTAGCCTGGATATAGCTGCTCCCTTCCCCTTTGCTAACTATTTTAAAGAATTAGGTAGAGGTTTGGGGACACAATGTCTTTCCCCAGACCTGATCTACAAAATGAAATATGTCCATTCATACAACGATCTGCCTTAGGAAACAAAAACTGGGATTCCTTCCCTTCCAGTCAGAATTAAAGTCAGGAGCAGAAAGCCAATAAATGTGGTGAGACACCAAATGGAATCTGACATAAACAGCAATGAAGTCTATTTCCTTCTTGACAGTCAGGGTGTAATGGAACGGGGGATGATTTTACACATAAAAATTTGAGAAAAATTTGAGCAGAAAAGAATTAAAGGCCACAAAGTTGTGTGTCCCTTTTCATTTTCAAAACAATTATTAAGATCTGAACAGGGCATTTGTTTTCGATTGATTCAGTTAAGGTTCAGTTTTAATCAAATACAACCAGCACAGAATTTTATGGAAGAAGGCCAGCAGGAGTAAAGTGTAATCTGTTTTAGAGGATCCCCTTCCCAGGATCAGCTTTCACCTGTAGGGCTTTTCAAAGTCCGCCTTGATCCCTCACCCCAGCCTCCAGCCTGGCGGTCTGACCGCCCGGCTCTGCCCCCTACCCCCCCCACCCCCGCGCTCCCCAGAGCAGCCCCTTTTTCATACTTGCTAGAGTTTGCTACGTGGTGTTTGGCCTGCAATAGCAGGACCCTCCGGCTCTGGAGAACCAACTCGAGCTGGACTTTGCTTTACGCAGAGCTGTCAGGTCTAGGGAAATTTCCTGGCAGCTTGGTGTCTGGGAGGGATCAGTTTTGCTTTTGCTAATCAAAGTTTACAAAAGCACAGGTGAGCTGCTAAATGGCATACGGGAAATCGGGTGCCACTACCCACGACTGGGGCGCGCAGCCCTAAGAGGGTAAGCGGGTGGCAAAGGTCCCCGAGCCCGAGACGACTCCACTCCCAGGAGCGCGGCGGCGGGCGGGGGTTTCTCACGCCGGAGCCGAGAAAAACTAGTCCAGCCACACCAAGCGCCCAGGTGACGGAGCTCGGACGCCGTGGTGGGCAAGGGCCATCCAGCCCCGTTCCCGACAGTCGCGTCCGCAGCGCGCTAAACGCACAAGGCACCCCGCACGTCGGGCCGAGTCCCTCGCGGGTGGCGTTCCCTCCGCTGCCCCACCTGTAGTGAAGCTCCCTCCCAGCTCCTTGCCCAAGTGCTTTGGAAACTGTCAACGGCCAGGCAATGTGACAGGAGACCATAAATATGCAGGAGAGATGCAGACAAAATAGCAGACACACGGGGCCAGCGCTTGCGGGAGTCGAGG